GGTAGCAGCGCTCACACAGTATTACCACCTTAAATCTAGAACCCTTTCAACACCGGGCTCTATCTCGGCCGCCTCACGACCACGCGTTCTATCAAGATGCCGAGGTAACTTAAACGGCATTCGCACAGTAATCTAACCAATCTACACGATAATCTAGTCGGTATTACGATTAACAAGGTCGGGCCTTGGCCGAGATCGAGCTCCAATTATCGCGGTGGCACCGGAGTAGAGATCTTACTCGGCGGCGTCGGGACACTTTTTCGGGGATGGCTCCTCGGCTGTGGCTGATTCGACAGTGATGAGCGGCCGGCCCGGCAAGACCACGCTAGGCCCGCGCATGCGCTCCCAGGCTCGCGATTTTCTGCCTCGCCGATCTGTCGCGCGTGCCGCCCTATTTGCGGCGCCACTCGTATCCGCTGCTTGACCGCGGCAATTTCAACTGACTGTCCTGTGTATGGGCCCATCTCAGTGTTAGCCCGGCTGGCCAGGCCGCCGGCCGTGGCTATCCTGCTCGGCGCCCCAAGTACCACCGGGGTAAGGCGTCCGGGGCGTCCACTCGCTCCGCGGTAGCGGTGACGCACCCCTTCCTTATGCTGCGGCGGGGCCAGGGATGTGCTGGGCGAGACCTGCTATGCGCCTTGGCGGCGGGGCCCGCGTGACCCGCCCGCCGGTCAACCGCTCACTTCAGCGTCCCCTCAGTGTCTTTCCTTCCCACGTTGCGATTCACGCCGTTACATTTTCCGTCGTCAATTTCCTGCTCCGGCACCACCTGTCGCTCCTGTCGCCTCCTACAAAATCTAACAAGAGAAAACAATTAGTTAACGCAATTAGCCCTCCCGTACTCGAGTCGAGGCGCCATCCCCGACCTTCCCCTCGGTTGAGCTACCGTCTGGGCGGAGGACGCGACAATGTCACGTCACAATATATATAATATATATATATATATATATATATAAAGTCGTGCGAATCAGATGTATGTATGTGAAATGAAAAAAAATTATACATATTTTTTCTCCCCAGATGCCTACATTACTTTCACTCGAGCGAGAAATTATCCGCTCACAGCGTCGATTGCGGAAAAATGAACGACTGCGCTATTGTTCTCCTGAACGACGACAACAAGTGGCTGTTTTCGCAATTACAGTAAAAAGGAGCGACTTCCCTTCGTGGTGTATGCCGATCTGGAATGCGTGTTGGAGAGAGAGAAGATAGACGAGGATGGCTTCAAGAGTTACGCCTATCAGCATCACAAAGCGTTCAGCGTGGGATACTATCTGTGCAGCGCGTACGAAGAGATCGCACCCGCGTACAGATTTTGTCGCGGCGGGGACTGTGTGTCGTGGTTCGTCAACGAGCTCAACGGTATCGCGCATCGCGCGAAGAAGATACTTTCGACGAGCGTGACCATGGCGGAGCTCACACCGGACGAGATAAAAAATTTTTAGAGCGCGACAAACTGTCACATATGCAAGAGACCGTTCGAACCGAAGGACGGTCGACGCGTGCGCGATCACTGTCACTTGACCAGACGTTACAGAGGTCGCATTCGCGCCGTAATGTAAATTACAGAGACTCCGTACGTTATTCCCGTTTTCTTTCACAATTTCGATCCGGATACGACGTTCATTTTATTATCAAGGATATAGCTAATAGCTTCGAGGGTAGCATCGATTTATTACCGCTCACTAAAGAGAGGTACATATCGTTCACGAAGAATGTGAGTGGGACGTTGTCGCGCGGTGGAAACTGCGTGAAGTTGCGATTCGTGGATTCGTTCAAATTTCTCAGCGCCAGTCTAGAGAAATTGGCGTCGTATCTCGATAGGAACAAGCTGAGAATCACGCGTTTGGGATTTCCGGAACTGAGCAAAAGCGATTTTGACCTGCTCACCCGTAAAGGCGTATTTCCGTATGAGTACGTTGACGATTTCGATAAGTTGCTGGTGACGAAATTACCGCCGCGAGAGGCTTTTTATAGTTCGTTGACCGGCGATACCGTGACCGATAGCGAATACGAGCACGCGTGGAACGTCTGGCTTTGTTTTCGCGTGGAAAATCTCGGCGAGTACAGCGATCTGTATCTTAAAACGGACGTGCTTCTCCTGGTGGATATCTTCGAAAATTTTCGTGACACCTGTATCGAAACTTACAGACTGGATCCCGCGCATTACTACACTTTACCGGGATACACGTGGGACGCGATGCTGAAGTACACAAAGGTGTCATTCAAATTGCTCACCGATATTGACATGATAATGTTCGTGGAGCGCGGTATCCGCGGCGGTCTGAGTCAGTGCTCCAACAGGTACGCGCACGCCAACAACAAATACATGCGATCGTGCGACTCTTCGCGACCGTCGACGTATCTCATGTACCTCGACGTGAACAATCTGTACGGCTGGGCGATGTGTGAACCGTTGCCGCACACGGAGTTTCAATGGGTCGACGACGCAGAGAGTCTCGACGTAATGTCTGTGACATTGGACTCCGCTATCGGTTACATCTTGGAGGTCGATCTTGCGTACCCGCGTGAACTCCACGACGCTCACGCTGACCTTCCGTTCTGCCCTATGCGCGATAAGCCTCCCGAAAAACGGTGCGATAAACTCCTCGCCACTCTGTGCGATAAGTCGCGCTACGTGCTGCACTACCGTAATCTACAGCAATGCGTAAAACACGGATTGCGCGTCACGAAGATTCATCGCGCGCTGCGATTCGCGCAATCTCCATGGCTTCGCGGATACATTGAGCTCAATACGGAATTAAGAACTCGCGCTAGCAACGATTTCGAGAGAGAGATGTACAAATTAATGAACAACGCGGTATTCGGCAAGACCATGGAAAACGTGCAAGATCATGTCGACGTGCGTCTCGTGACGTGTTGGGATGAGAGATACGGCGCGGAAGCGATGATCGCGAAACCGAATTTTCACAGTCGAAGCGTCTTTGCGGAGGATCTGATGGCTGTCGAATTGCGCAGGCTCGAGGTGAGGTTGAACAAACCCATCTACGTCGGTATGAGCATTCTCGAGATATCCAAGACGCGCGTCTATGATTTTCATTACGACTACATGGTGCCCTTGTATCGCGAAAGATGTAAGATAATGTACACTGACACCGACAGTCTCATATATTTTCTCGAGTGCGACGACGTGTACGAGAATATGAAACGCGACATTGCGAGATTCGACACGAGCGGCTACCCCGAGAACAACGCGTACTGCATGCCGCGTGTCAACAAGAAGGTACCCGCTTTGATGAAGGACGAGAACGACGGCGCTGTCATGACGGAATTCGTTGGACTGAGGGCGAAGATGTATGCCTTAAAGGTCGAGGGAAAGAGCGACACGAAGAAAATAAAGGGCGTTAAGAGAAACGTGGTTGCGAGAACGATAACGTTCAACGATTACATGCATTGCCTGAACGACGCGATACAGCAGTCTAGGCGTCAGTCGTGTATTCGTTCGACGTTACACAAGGTGTACACCGTGTCCGAGTTGAAGCTCGCTTTCAGTCCGTACGATGACAAGAGATACGTCGTTTTCGGCTCGTACGACACTCTACCGTGGGGGCATTACAAGATATTGTCGTGAAGAGGAACTTTTTTTTCTTATCAACGTTAATATATATATATTTCTTGTTTAGCAATGCGTTTTATAGGTTAGATTTATACGCGCGCGATCGTTGGAAGTCAGGAATGTTTAAACTGTCTAGTCCTACCCACAATGGTCGATAATTTTTTTTCAGTGGTGGTGGGAAAACGTTGATTTTTTTTGCATAAAAAAAAATCACTCTAGAGTCTTTTTTTCTGTGCGTAGGGAACTGAAATTTTCAGATAGTTTTTTCAAAAAAACCTATATATTAAGAAAAAATAAAAAAAAAATATCGCTATCGCTATTAAAATACAATACATATATATTAAGCTTACTACATTAATAAAAAAAAAATAATAAATATCGCTATCACTATTAAGAAACACACACACATATTAAGCTTACATTAAGGTTAACAAAAAAACTGTAATATGTGAGGGGGGGGGGAAATACATTAAATTTTTTTTGTTAACTGCAACACATTTGTTTTATTTATCCATGAGTTATGCGAACTGTTCATTCCCAATCACTTCACGTATACGTCGTCGCCTCGCCTGCGCAACACGTTCTTCACGAGATAAACGTCGGGGTTGGAAACTCGCAGCAACTCATGCTCGTAAAATCCTCCGGCTATCGGTTCCCCGCGGTAGTCTTTCAACAGATACGTTACAGGATTGGTCCGTTATATCTTAGCGACACAGAAGATCTTGGTAATCCAGTTGAGGGTGTAGCCCTTTTTGAACAGCGTCTTGAATTTGCTCACGCGCACGTGGGATCGTTCATCCTGAATCTACCCGGAGCGGCGATCTTCGCGGGACTGTACACCGTGAACAGGAGTCTCTTGGCGACAGCGGGTGTCACGTCCGCCGGTCGCATTCCGATCGTTCGATGTCTGCGGTGGTTGTAATTCGATAGCAAACGCGGCAGCGCGTTGACCCACGCGTACGATCCGTTGAGCGTGAAGAGTTTCCACATGTCGTTCTTCAGCGCGCGATTGAATCTTTTTACCACCGACGCCTTCATCACCGAGTACGTCGAGTAGTGATTTATGTCGCGTTTTCTCATAATCTCTCGCACGTTAGCGTTGTAGAACTCCTTTCCCTTGTCTGTTTGCAGATTCCTCGGATATCGCGCGTCCTCGCGAAATATCCTCGACAGGGCCGCGGCTACCTCGCTTCCGCTTTTACTCTTGAGCGGTAACGCCCACGCGTATTTGCTCAACACGTCGATAACCGTCAGTATGTAGTAGTAACCCTTGTTGTGCCGCGAGTAGGGACGCATCTCGATCACGTCGGCCTGCCACAGATCGTCGTAACCGCGCACCACGACGTGACGCCGCGGGAAGTTTCTCCGCGCCGGTGTGTGCAACTCCTCCACGAGTCTCCGCTTTTCGGTACTCATTGTTGCGCGCCTTCCTCTCTCGACTGCGCACGTGATTATGCGCGGTTGTGTAAAAAAAAAGACAGCTCACCGTCTGTACGTTCGCTTCTTCGTCCTTATTGACGTGCACGCTCCCCCTTGTTGCCGCGAATGTCCGTTTTCATCACTATCGCTATCTCTCTCTGGAGCGATTCCTTCGTCACCATCACTCCTTCAATCTCACGGAATTTTGCTAGAAAATCGTTCATAGCAACTCTGAGTCCGCTCAGGACACTGTTTATCTGATCTACGTCATTTCTCAAAGAATTCGTCTTGCCCGTCGTTTTTTCGATCTGGTTTTCAATCTTCTTGAACTTGGCCAGAAACTCGTTCATCGTGATTCTGAGTCCGCTCATGACGTTGTTTTCAGTCTCCTTGAATTCGCTCAACGCGATTCTGAGTCCGTTCACGCCGTCGTTTGTTCGATCCACCTCGCTTTTCACCGTCGACAACAATTTTTTTGTTTTTTCGTAAAACGACTCGATCTCCTTTCCCGATTCTCGAAGCGCGCGTTCGACGTAACTCTTGTTTGTCGCGTTGCTGTCGATCTCCGGCGCGGCTAGACGTCGTAACTTGCGCTCCCTCGCGTCGTAGGAATCCTTGTTCAAGCAGAGCGCGCTGTCTCGTACGTAGTTTCGCAGGGAGTCGATCAAGAATCACGATCTTTCCGTTGCAAATCCACCGCCGTCGCCGCGTTTCCTCAGAGACATACCGAATTTGTTCATCAACATTGCACCGATCTCGTCGAGAATCGCACTACCGTCGCGGTCGACGCGACAGTTCAATTTATAATCAATCCGATCTCGCGAAGCTCCTCAATTATCGACTGAATCTCGTTACCGTGCGCGTCGTTGCCCGCTCGACGAGGAGGCCTCGAGCAATCGCAAACGATCCACCAATTCGTTAGGATCGTCCCAATAAACGTAATCTATTGTATTGTCGTTCAATCTCAAGATCGACGGCAATCTGGTCACGCCGGCGCTCTTTCTATTACTTCCGATTCTATCACGCGATACCAACACGAGCGATGATGTTCTTGTATTTTGGTCCCTTGTTACCCATGATGGGGTTAAGAGCACTGTAACTGCGTCTGTAAGCGTTTGTCGCCAACAGTATATTTCTGTACTTTTGCACGTCGTTCTTGGTGTAAATTGCGTCATCGGGATATCTCTTGAAGATTAATTCGTATAAGCCGGGCATGCCCGTGTATCTCACTCCGTCCACGATCACGGAATCGTCCGCGTTCACCTCGAACCGTTTGTCGCCGAGCATCGTGCCGTCATTCCCCATGTACACGCAGTAAACGTAATCGATTTTATTTTCTGGGTCCCCGTTTAGAAGAGCGCCCACGTATCTTTGTCCCAACGGACCAAATGGACTATGCAGTTCCTCGTGACTCTGCGGCGTTTGTAGAACGTCCCTTACGGGTGTTTCGGGGGAGGGCAACGGCGACGCGAAAACCTCCAGCCATCCTCCCCCATCCGCTCGTGCAGCGATAATTTTCGCGGTTTCAGAGGCGTGGAGTGGATCGGGAGCATCTCTGACTCGGCGCTCGTTTGTTTTTTCCTCTTCTTAGGTCTCGATATTATTTTTTGCGCGAATTTTCCTTCGTCGTCGTCGTCGTCGTCATCTTCGCTATGCTCACGTTTCTTTTTAATGACGATACCTTTCGTCGTCGTCGTCGTCGTCGTCGTCGCCGCCACATTGTCATTCTTGGATTCGCTTTTCCTGACATGTTCGACGATTTGTTTCAACGGGTCGACGATTGGCTGAATTGTCTCTCGAGAGCGATCTCGTTCTCCATCCTGCCGGTTTTCAACGCTCTGTATTTTCTGCGTATCGACGCTTCGATATCTTGGCGTACGTTTGACAGAGATAGCAACAATCGATATTTGAATGTCGACCCATAGCGAAGTACTAACTGATTGCGTCCTGCTTGTCGCAGGCTACGTCGTCGAACACGAATATCGAATCGAGGAGCGCCTCGCTCGGCGGTATGACGTCGCGATTGTTGGAGAACGCGCGATAACCGATCTCGTCCATCGATTCGAGCAGTGTCTCAAGGTATCGATACTTTGGCTAATGCAGATATTTCAAGTACACGTATACGTTCTCGAAACGCAGACTGTGCGGATTTTCCAGTAAGCTTAACAACACGTTAGTCTTACCGCAGTTCGAAGGGCCGCAGATGACGCAACGTATCGCAATCGGTAAAAGAGGTCCGTGCCGACGCGTCTCTCTCGACGTTAAACCCGACGTCAGTCGCGTCTTGCAATCGAGATTCGACACTCCTATCGCCGACGGTTGTCTCACGAAGGAGTCTCGCGCGGGACTTGGACCGGAGCGGACGTATTGGCGACAGTGCCTGCGAGTAGTGTCTTCAGTGTAAAGTTTGTCAGATTCTGCCCTTTTCAGGGCGCTGACGACGTGTCAGATTCCGCCCTTGTCAGGGCGCTGACGGCGGAGGTGTTTTCTCTTCGTGGTGCTGGTGTGCCGGTTTGCCGTTTTGGCTGGACTTTTTGACAAGGTGGAGGGCTTCACCGAGACTGACGATGATTCAGGACGTCCCTCTATCTCGGAGGGTAATGACAACGTTAAGATGCCTGTAAAGCGACCTGCTTTTGATTCTGCGGCTGGATCGTCCGCATTCGGGCATTCTGACAAGGTACCCCGTTTTGACGATATCGCTGCTCGCGATAAAGTTAATGCCAATAATGTTAACACTAGAAATTGCTTTCAATGCTTGGCCGATTCCAAGGATATGCTTGATATGCATGCGGAGCCCAGCAGAGCTCCAGTAGCTTCTAAGCGCACTAGTAAAAAGTCACGAGACGCTGGTGAATCTAGTACGGATGAGCCACAAACTCCAAATAATGGAAATGCTGCAGGAGTTGCTCCGGATGATATGATTGGACGCGCGAGACGACCTCCGCCTGTTTATCTCAATTTAAGACCGAATAATTTTGCACAATTTTCAACGTTACTCAAGCAGGATATTGGTGACAATTTCCATTTAAAATTCTTGGGCAACCAGATTAAAATTCAATTCAATAAACTGGAGGATTACACTGAATTCAAGCGTTTTGCTATTGACGAAGGATATTGTTTTCATACTTACTCGCTTCCCGAAGACAAAAGCATTACCGTTACTCTCAAAGGACTGCCTAACGTACCGAATCTTTTGGTTAAAGAAAAGCTTGAGGAAAGCGGAATTAAAATTAACTCTTGCACGAACATTAACGCAGAAAATAGTTTATATGCTATTTACAAGATCAACCTAAGTGCTAAATACACATTGTCACAATTGAGAAAAATTACATATCTTTTCAATTCTCGCATTTATTGGGATAAATTCAAAAACTTCAAGACCGTTTTACAATGCTTCCGCTGCCAGGCTTTTGGACACACTTCATCAAATTGTTTTAAGCAGCCTCGATGTGTCAAGTGCACGGCCGACCACATTACATTGGATTGTAAGAAGACTCCGGATACTCCTGCTAAGTGTTGCAACTGCCAAGGGGATCATCCGGCTAGCTATACTAAGTGTCCAGCGTATCTGAAATTCGTTGACAAAAGAACAG